GGTGGGCAAGGGCAGGGGGGTGTTTCTAAAACCATGTTAAATTCTATTTTATGCTTTCATCCTGTCTGGAAATGGGCTAAGTTTTTCTCACTTCTAGTGTATCTTGATCTACATAATAACAAACTTAGGAGTTCTGATAGATACTGAAATGTGCATACAGTGTTCAAGATACTACATACCTTAATTTGCATAGGAAATAGAACGGCAGGGTCGAGAACTGAAGACAAAGATTTCAGCAATGAAAGAAGAGAAAGAACAACTTAGTGCTGAAAGACAGGAGCAGATTAAACAGAGGACTAAACTAGAGCTGAAGGCTAAAGATCTGCAGGATGAATTAGCTGGCAACAGTGAACAAAGGGTACGTAAGAGTGGTGAAGTCTTGAAATGTCAGTGGCACAAGGTAGTATACTTGTACATTGAAGTTTTGGGTTTAGACTGCAGCCTTTCATTGTTTTCTGAGGTTTGCCAGACAGATGTCTTTGTTTTTTTCTGATGTCTTTAGTGTGCTTCTAGGGGGTGTAAACATAGACTCCTGTGTTATGATCCTTTATTTATCATCCTGCATGTTGCAAAATCAAGTAGCTGTAATTCTCTTGATCTTAATCGCTGCAGGTATTGGGAAGGAGGGGGGTTTTTTTGCAGCACTATTTTGAACTCGGTTGTTTGGCACATACAGACCTTCTTTGCTTGTGTAGCTTAGCTTCTTGAGAATGCTTCATTTCATCCCTCTTCGCTGTCCTGATTGGAACTGAATTAACTTCTGTGAAGTGTTGAAACACTGTAGTATCAGATAAGCAATGGCATCTTGCAATCTTAGAATTAAATTATTCTTTAGAAGTGTGTATTTATCTAAAAATACAGTTCCTGATATTACCTAACTTTAAATACTGCTTTGTTTGACTTTCAGAAAAGACTGTTGAAAGAGAGGCAAAAGCTTCTTGAGAAGATTGAGGAGAAGCAGAAAGAATTAGCAGAAACGGAGCCGAAATTCAACAGTGTAAAAGAAAAAGAAGAGAGGGGAATTGCTAGGTCTGTGGCATTCTACAACAGGGAGTCATAGCATTTAAAAAAAAAGAAGTTACTATCAATAGTATCCACGTGTGCAATTAACTTGGTTGTACCGGTTGTTTGGGGTAGTTATTTGTACTTACAGATGGTCTGTAAAAAGCCTCCTTTGTTGGGGGGGGAACAGTGTTTGGTGAAATTAGTTTTTAAGCTTATCCACTTTTATGGGCTGTTGTCAGCTTTTTGTTTTGTGAAGTCTTCTGGCTGATTTCATGGTTTATAATATCCTTTGATGCTTGAATTTGAGAGCCTGGTTTGATGCTTTTTGAATATCCTTATGATAATTCTTAATGCTTGCTCTTAATAAATTCAAGATTTCTTTATAATACAGCATGTGTTTCCCTTCTCGAAATAGACTTGCACAGGCTACGCAGGAAAGAACAGATCTTTATGCAAAACAAGGTCGAGGAAGCCAGTTTACCTCCAAAGAAGAAAGAGATAAGTGGATAAAGAAAGAACTGAAGTCTTTAGATCAAGCCATCAATGACAAGAAGCGGCAGATAGCAGCTATACACAAGGATTTAGAGGATACAGAGGCAAACAAGGAGAAAAACTTGGAACAGTACAGTGTAAGTTTTAAGCTTATTACTTCTCAGTATTTTTGAGAGAAGGGTTAAACACTCAGTCTAATCTTGGACAATTTAGTACCTATTTATGAGGAAGATAAGACTTTCTGGTTGGGTGTGGTCTTTTAAAAATTTATTAGTGAAAACATCTGCAGATAAACTCTAAACTCCCTTTAGCACTGGATCTAACTTCACTCTGTATGTTGACTTTCTTTCTGGTAATTTCCTCAAAGTGTTCTGCCTGAGTTTTCAGGAAGAGACTTAGATCTGCCTTGCTCTTGCCAGAGTTGAACATGGCCATTTCATACATATATATATATATATATATATAAAAAACAATTTGTTCTGTGTTGGTTGTTTTCACTCTTCTCTTATTTTCCCTAAACAGAGGATTTTTTGAACTGTGCTGCAAGCACTGCAGCTTTGCACCATGATTGCAGCTGGTTAGAAGTTGCATCCCTACCCATGTTAAGAGTAATCTGTCTCAGTATTATCTGCATAACTTTGACATTTTAATTTCCATGTATAAACAGCTCTTGCACTGCAAATACAGCAGTACAATAAAAATATACCACTCCTTCTAGGAGCTACAGGAGTGAAAACTGGAGAGCATCCAGTGCCAATGCTGCTACCCTGCATGTGCTGATGAATCATGTTCTTGGTCTTTGTGTAATACATCCACTGAAGTCAAGGATCAGTCTGACAAAATCTAGGAATGCAGTTGTCCAAAGACAATTGTGTTCTGCTAAAAAACTGTTTGGATGGAGCCCACGTCAGCAAAGTAATGATTCCCTGAGTTGGTAAATGAAAGAAATGGCATTTACCACTGACTGTAATCGTATTGTACTGCTCAATAGGAATTCTGTAGAATTTAAGAGGTTAAACTTGAGGTGCCCTTGACTTCTTTTATAAACATGTATTGGTTTTCTTTTTCCCCTTAAGAGGGGTCAGTTTATGCTTAGGTTGAGAGCTGTATAGCTTCTTGATCAAAGGGGAGGTGTCGTGAGTGAATGTGATGGACAGCTTGCAAAGTTAGGTTGGAAAAACTTGGCTATGTTTTGAGAACACAGCTAGACCTCTTGTACACAGATGGCTATGAAAACATTATCTGAGTGCTAGCCCTGAGCTGCTTTGAAAATGGCAAGTGTTAAATGAAGAAGGGGAAGGATGTCTGGGCACTGGCTTAAACAGCACGCTGTTGACAGCAGCTGTGGTAAAGTACTGCTGGAGAGCAGGCTACCATTTTTGACTAATAGCAGTATGGCACAGTACACAAGACTAGTATTTCTGTTCTTATCACAAGTGTTATTTCAGAGTGTGATTACACACAGTTACGTGTATGATGGTGTGACTGGTTTGGTTCAGTTTCTTACTGTGACTTACAGGGAGATATTTCACTGTATTAGCCAGATGCACAATTCAACTCGGTGCCTGCCCTGCATTCTGCTCGATAACTTCACCTTGTTACTGCTCCCTTACAAAGATGTACTTATTCTTAGTGCTTTTGCAGTTTGTTGTAAATAGGTTAAAATGTTTGCAGGAATTATTTTTTCTGAATTTTGAGTAGTAGTTTAGTATTTAAAAAAGAAAGGTTTTTGAACATAGAGAACTGTGGTTTCATCCTGTTCTTTTCTTTGTGTTAGAAACTGGACCAGGATCTTAATGAAGTGAAGGCTCGGGTTGAAGAACTGGACAGAAAATACTACGAAGTGAAAAATAAAAAGGATGAACTACAGAGCGAAAGAAAGTTAGTAATTAATTGAAATATGTCTGAATCTCACTTAATGTGAAGAACCCCAACTGTGTAGTTGTTAACATGGCATGCAGGTGTGTTTTTTAAATATAGCCATGTAAGAACTCCCACACTTCACCTTCCTGTTAGGTTAGCAGCCTCTGAGAATCGTAATAATAATTTAAAAATCTTCAGGCTTCATTCACACTTAAAATATTTTAATTATTATTGTTCTTTAGCTATCTATGGAGAGAAGAGAATGCAGAACAACAAGCTCTTGCTGCAAAGCGGGAGGATTTGGAAAAGAAGCAACAACTTCTCAGAGCAGCAACAGGAAAGGTAAGATACCTTTTATTTGAGAATTCCTTGTGGAAGCTCTTCTCATTCTTAAAGGACAAATCATAGTCATCTGAAAGATAAGACAATTATTTCTTTTTATTATGGTCTTACTGTCATAATTAAGATGGAAAAAATATATTTGTAAGCTGAATTTTGCAAATGTTTATAGCTCTGGAACTACTCAGAAATTAGTTTTTTAAGTTCAAGGTAATTGAGAGGTCAGGAGGAATACTTCTAAAATTTCTGCTGATATCTTTTTGCTTTAAAACGAAGAAACAAAAACCAAACAAAAAAAAACAAACAAAACAAAAACAAAAAAAAAAGCTGAAAAGTGGCAGACTCAAATATTTGGGTATTTTCCGTGAGAGCTGTAGATTAGATAGCAGGAACTTGGGCAAAAAAGGTTACAATTTTCACAGAGTTAAAAGTAAAACGGGTATTACAATACAATAATGAGTTGTATATTTTGGGCAGCCAGTTGGAGGGAACCTGCTTTAGCAGGGGGGTTGGACTAAATGATCTCCTGAGGTTCTTTCCAACCCCTATGATTCTGTGATTCTGTGGTATTTTAACAGGCCATTTTGAATGGTATAGACAGCATAAACAAAGTCTTGGAGCACTTCCGTCGGAAAGGCATAAACCAGCATGTTCTAAATGGCTATCACGGCATTGTGATGAACAACTTTGAATGCGAACCAGCTTTCTACACCTGTGTTGAAGTTACTGCAGGGAACAGGTAATTACATGCTCTTCAGTGTTACTTAAGTTTAAGCAGCTGCAGTCTTACAATTTAGTTGTTGCCAGTTGCTACTGAAAGTTTCATTCTCTTGAACTTGAGCTCTTGTTCTTTTGTTTGTCAAAGTCCCTACTATATGGCATGATCAAACTGCTACTCCTTCGAGAAAGAATTAAGAATTCTGTCTATTTAAAAATTAATCCTAGCTGCTCTTGATCTTGTATAAAAACTGAAACAAAACCACACGAACACCCCCAGAAAAGGCCCCAGACCCACACTCCCGACATTTACCAGAAGGGTTGGTGGTGAGGCTGAGCTATATTGAATAAAGTGGATGGTATCTTACAGGGTGGAGAATTCTACAGTAAGCAATGCTGATGTTTCAATGGTAACAATCAGTGAGAATTATTTCACTTACACTAGAAAATCTCATGGGTGAGGCTGGTCTCTAAACTGTCAAAACCTGCTATTTAAAAGCTATCTGAACAGATGTTGACTGTTAGTGAGTCAGTGTATAATGTGTGTTCTAGAAGTGCCTGTTGGGTGATCCACCACTTCCTGCAGCATCTGACACTTCAAATCAATTTAAATTGTCTATTAATGTGATCAGTCCCCTGTTCCAATACAAGTAGTGATACAAATTCTTGTTCTAATGAAATGTAGATAGTGGCATCAGGGCAGGAAAGAGGACAAGGGGTGGCATGATCTTGCAGACTATGACATAGAAATGTTGATGCTGCCACAATTTGAAATGCAATCTCTCATCTGAAACACCTGTGTCTGTGTGAACAAGGGTGTCTCTCCAAAGTACTTCACATTTCTCTCTGAATCCTGTTGTGCCCCGTAGTTTGGAAAAAGCAGTAACAAGCCAACTGTAGTTCATCTTCCAAAAGAAAGATCACTTATTTCAGTCCCTCTGAACTAAGTGGTCTTAGTCCCAGTCACACACAGGGAGATAATCTGGTCTCTGTTGGTTGCGTACAGAGGCATAAGGTGTGAGCTCTGTAAATCCATGCAGAGGGCTGAGTGCTGTGTATTGAAATGGTATGGAGGACAGAGGTTTGGAGTTGAACCAAAATAGACTCTGTACACAGTGACACTGTACAGATACTGAGCTGCTCTTGTGACTGGAGGGTGGCATGTAAAATTCTTGGCTGATCCCATTTTAATGAAAGGGAATGGAGTACATCCACTTGCTTATTCTAAGGTACAGACTTGGGAAAAAACGATGCAATGCAGCTTTATATCAACATGTTATTGAATGGTACCTGCGTGTTTACTGTTCCCATACAAATATGTGAGTGCTTTTAGCACAGTAAAGTTTTGCTTATTTGTTTGGTTTGTTAATTAGGTTGTTTTATCACATTGTGGATTCTGATGAGGTCAGTACAAAAATCCTAATGGAATTTAACAAAATGAACCTTCCTGGAGAAGTCACTTTCCTCCCTCTGAACAAGCTGGATGTTAGAGATACTGCTTATCCTGAGACTAATGTGAGTTTGAGTTCCTTTTAAACCTTCCTCTACTTTGTCATTACAAAGCCTTATATTTTGACTTGTTTATGTATATTGTTTATTGCCCACCACTTCCTTTGCTGTTGAATGTCTGCAATTAAATATTGCTTCTAATGTATGCTTCTCAACATAAAAAACTCTGTTATAGGAAAATAAATACTTTCCTGCCAGGTGTTTCCTCTTTGAAGTTTAACTTCACCTGAGAAGTAAATAGGTGATAGTAAAAAGTAGAATTTTATCGTAACCTGATGATTAATAATTGCCTGAGTTACTGAACTCTAATTCTTTAAACTGAAATGCTGCCATAGACAAAAGCTGAAGAGCTGTGTTATGTGTTACAGCTGTGGACAGTTTCTCAAAATTACTGGTGATGGGTTGTATTTTTATATTTTAAAAATGCATAAATAAACCTTCATGACAACCGTTCAAAAAGTAGTTCTGAAATACATTTCAATAAAGTATCTGCTTTTATTTGAAATTTTAGCAATGAATTAATTGTGTATATGTTAACTGCTTCCTACAATAATCATGGTAGGATAAGTTCTTCAAAAGTACTTTTTTCTTTTTTTACTCTGATAAACATAGGAAAAACTAAATAGGAAACAATCAGACTTCTAGTGTGCTTATTTTGGGAGGGCTTTACTAGTAAAACTGTTAATATTTTTGTGTCCTCTCTACAGAACGAAATATCTTTTTGGAGGAAAAAAAACAAATTACTGCCAATTTATGATACATACTGAGCTTTTATTGATTTATGATACATTACTGAGTAATTTAATACTCAGATGAGATTCCTGGCAGACTCTTACTTGACCTAAGGCTCAAACCTAGCTATTAAAAGCTGAAATCGCAAAATCTTGTCCTTGATTGCCATAAAGTGCTTATGTGTTTGTCTTGGGAACGTTCAGTCAGGGTGTCATCCTTCTACCAACTGACAGCTGTTTATTTCCAAAGTATCATTCACAATATTGTGCTACGAGTTTGGGGTTTGACATCCTATGACATCATATGTAAATAATGACGTACACTGCTCCAAAGTCTTCATTCTAGAAGTTTATGGATTGTGAAGCCAGTGTTAATATTCAGTGAATTTGAGATATGCTAAACTATAAGGCTAGAGTGTATTCTTTTTTTACACTGTTAGTTTCTTTTATCCTGGACTGTCTTGGAATTCTGTGTATGAATTAGTTGCAATATATTTGCAATATTTGTATCAATATGTTCTTCTCGTTGATACCACTGTCACTGCAGGATGCTATTCCTATGATCAGTAAACTGAGATACAATCCAAGATTTGACAAAGCTTTCAAACATGTTTTTGGAAAGACTCTAATTTGTCGTAGCATGGAAGTGTCTACCCAGCTAGCCAGAGCTTTCACTATGGATTGTATTACTCTGGAAGGTAAATATTGCAAATTTCATAAATTATTTATTGTAAAAATGGGATCCCTGGAATGTGAGGCTTATTAAATATGGTCTGTTAGTGTTGTCAAAATAAGATTATTTTAAATAGTAGTATACTTGACTGAGATGTACAAGGTTGCACTTGGTGAAGTACAGTGCTTAAAAAATACAGAATTGCTTCACAAGCCATTGAATTTTCTTATGATCTAAAAGTTAGTAGCTATGTGTCTCCATCCTGAGAAATGTAAAGCAGATTAGGTTTGTATTCATTCATTCAATTTGTTTTATCCAATTTAGCAGGCATTTGTTTTCCTGCAGTATTTGTGGTGTTTTCCACAAACTTAAACCAGTGTTTAGGGTGTGAATGTATGGCCTTAATTACTGATTAAGTGCAAGGTGAATTCTTCTGCACACCAGACACATTTGCATGTTATGTTCTCTGAAATAATCTGCATCTCCTGTTGATTGTCTGTTCTTGCAGGGCAGACTCCCTGCAGGCTTATTGTTGTCTTTTTGTCTCTTCAATTCAATCTGAAAACACTCCTAAGGATGTCTGAGGAGGAAGTGATTAATTTTTCAGTAACAGCATACTCTACAAGCCACAGATGCTGCTAATTACTCAGCTTCTCTTTTATTTTCTCCCTCACAGAAGATCTGTGACTTTTTAAAACTGGCAATGCTAGGCATTTGCCTTCTTCCCTAATGTAAGCATTTTTTTCCTTCAAGCTGAATGGTTTTGGAAGTTAATTAAAAACAACAACAAAAAAATATGAGCTAACACTTAAAGGAGATCAAAGCAGTCTGTCGGTCTCGAGAAAGGAAATGCACTTTAAATTGGATACAGAAATAAACATTTCCCTAATTACTGTAAACATACATATGTGATTCCTATACTGATGCCATGTTTCTGTAGGTTAGTTGAAATTAGTTTTAGTTAATCTGCTAAGTTGTATTATAGAAGCTTCTCTGGACATCATGGAGAGCATACAGTGTGCAGCTTATAGTCTCGTTCTGTTACGCTTTTAGGTGACCAAGTCAGCCATCGTGGTGCTTTGACTGGAGGTTATTACGACACAAGGAAGTCTCGGCTTGAATTGCAAAAAGATGTTAGGAAGGCAGAAGAAGAACTTGGTGAACTCGAAGCAAAACTCAATGAAAACTTGCGCAGAAACATTGAAAATATCCTTTTGTTCTTGGGGAAAGGTGTGATGGCAAAGGTTTTGTTTTGTGGTTACAGTAATAGATGAAAAACAGGAGACTAACTTTTGTTAATGTTACGTATTGGCTGTGGCATCTATTTTAACTCTTGCTTGTGCAGTGTTGTTCTATATGTTACTGTAGGGATTTTGGTAACAAAGAAATCAATGGTAAAACAGAAAAAAAAACAGAAACGCTGCATGTGAAAATTGGTGTAGAACCGGTGAAGATAGCAGATTATTTTAAAACATAGCCATTGTTTATGTGCCTGAATTGCATTACTTTTTAAAAAATTATTTTTAGATCAATGCAACTAGTTAAGAAATATTTTCTATACCACTGCTGTAATTTTTTTGGTAAAACTTCCATACTGGGGAAACTTGACAGAAGAATAGTAATTGAAGTGCACCTTGTCCAGTAGTTTGCTTCAGAAAGTGGCTGGCACTGTAGGCTTCAGGAAAAAGGAGCTTTAGTAATCTGTCCCCGTTAAAAATTGATCTTGATCTTTAAAGCTTATAGGTGAGTTTAAACCCTAAGTTATGAGGATTCCTATTCCTTCTACAGTTTGTTGTAGTAACTGCCATAACCAGATATTCTTGTTATCTGTGTTAATCTTCACCGCTTCTTCTGACTCATGCTATATTTTTAGTACTTGTGTCCTGAATTGGTGTGTTACATAGTCCACTGATGCTGTGGGCAGGAGATAAAGAGCATTATATTATAACTGAGCTCTGTGTTGCTTGATGGTCTCGGTCTTTTCAGTCTCTTTGTACAAAAATTCAAGTAACAACTTTTTCTCTAACCCTTTTAACATTACAGCGACCTTTTGAGATCCAGTATCTAGAATTCAGGGTCAAGGGAGGTTTAGACAATTTTCTTCTCCATTATCCAGGTCATTCTGTCCTTTGAACTGAACCCCTTTGGTTTTTTGACCTCCAGCAGTGCTTTAGAGACGTTTTTGGGGCAGCAAATAAGCAGAACGCTGAAGCCTATGCTTAGATCCACAGCTGATTAGCAAAGCTTTAAAAGTTTATACCCATGTTTTAAGTCAGTGTAAGAATGTCGAAATGGTCTATTAAATGTGCCTGAAATAGACTGAGTTTGCCAGCTGGCTTTACATGCACCAGCAATAATGAATGTTTTTCACCCTTCTCATTGTTACCTGTAAGCAATGTGCAGGACCTGATTTGTGTATCTACAAGTATTAAGTCTGGCATTTTCTCCTTCCTTGGATCTTTTGTAACTACTATATATAGGCACAGTTTTAAAAGGATTTGTGCAGAAACTAATTTTAACACCAATGTGCATTTGTACAAGTAGCCTGCTT